AGCACTTGGGAGGCAGAGGCAGGCAGATCTCTGTGAGTTCCAGGCCAGCCTGGTCTACATAGTTCCAGGACAGCTGGGGCTACAGGGAGACCCTGTCTCAAAAAGACCAAAAAAATAAATAAATAATAAATAAATAAATAAATAAAATATATTTTGAGGCCAGGCGTGGGGGTGCAGGCCTTTAATCCCAGCATTCGGGAGGCAGAAGCAGGCAGATCTCTGTGAGTTCAAGGCCAGCCTGGTCTACATAGTGAGTTCCAGGCCAGCTGGGGCTATAGGGAACCCCTGTGTCAAAAAGACCAAAAAATAAAAACATATTTTAAAAGCTGAGCATACTAACAGGAAACCACAATCCCAGTGCTGGGAAAGGAGACAAAAATCCCTAGGGCACCGGGCATGGTGGTACATGCCTTTAGTCCCAGCACTCTGGAGGCAGAGGCGGGCAGATCACTGAATTTGAGGCCAGCCTGGTCTACATAGCAAGTTCCAGGACAGGTGGAGCTACAAGGAGACACTGTCTCAAAAAAAAAAAAAAAAAAAAAAAAAGACAAATAAAAAGATCCCTGGGGCTAGCTGGCCAGCATAGCTAAAATGATGGTAAACCACAGACCCTGTCTTAAAAATAAGGTCAAATGCTGGCCATAGTGGTGCATGTCTTTAATCTCTGCACTTAGGAGGCAGCTGCAGTCAGATCTCTGTTAGATCAAGGACAGCCTGACCTACATAACAAGTTCCAGGCCTACAGGGAGACTGTCTCAAAAATAAGGTGAGGAGCCAGTGGGTGCTGGCAGGTCAGGCAGCGGGTTTCAAAGGATGGCAGATGAGGAAGAAGTCCACACCTTTGAGGAGGAAGAAGAAGAAGCTGGAGATGCAGAAGGTAGACAGGGTAAAAGAGAGACTTCTAAAGAACTGTGGTGTATGATGTGTGGGTTTGGGGATGACCAGAATCCTTACACTGAGTCCATAGATATTCCTGAAGATCTTGTCATAGTGTTCATCACTGAGATGACTCACAAGGTGATGTCAGTTTGGAAGACATGGTTGAGTGCAAGTTGAAGATACTGTATTCTTGATCTGAAAGGACCCAAGGAAGTTTGCCAGAGTTAAAGACTTACCGTGAATGAAGAACTGAAACCAGCTAGGAAAGCTTTTGATGAAGCCAACTACGGATCTTGACGCTTTTTGTACTTTCTGAAATTTGGTACCTTCTGTGGAAACCATATATTAGAACTGTGTCTTCTACAGTAATATCCTGATATCTAGGCATGTAATGAAAGAGGTCTTCAATTTTAGATTGATATGTGAGCCTTTAATCGCCTGCCTTTATATGACCATATTTGAATTACTTATTGAGTTTTTTTAATATTTTCTTTATTATTTTTATGTGTGTGCATGTATTGCCTGCACATAGGTAAGTGCACCCATGTCACACAATGCCTGCAGAGACCAGAAGAGGCTGTCGGATCCCCTGGAGTTATGGACAGTTGTTAGGGGCCATGTGGGTGCTGGGATTTGAACCCAGGTCTTCTGCAAGAACAATCAGTGCTCTTACCCGCTGAGCCATCTCTCCAGCCTCTACTTACTGAGTTTAATGACTACACATAAGTATTATAGACTATGCAGTTCCATCTGCTTCTGATCATCTAAAGGGTAAAGTTTTGTTTAGGCATTAGGTAGATTTGTGCCATTATAAGCTGTAGACTATAGGTGCTTAATATGTCAAATCTAAGTATCCTTTAGAGTTTATGAAAGTACAGATATGTGCTTTATTATATTCCTAAGTTTTTAAACAATTGTCTGAGAGGCTATTAAAGATAACGAACTGATTTTTATTTCCTTTAAGGTGATGGCATAAGAAACTAAGTTTTTGTAAGGAATGTTTAATGGTCTTAAAAGATAGTTTTTTTTAGTATTCTTTTCTAAGGGGTTTTGTTTTTGTTTTAA